TGCATAACAAGTAATCAGAAAGATGATGGCCTGAATCAGACACACCTTAGTCTACAATACAAACTGACAATATTACTCTTGAATAATTTGGAGAAGTCCCTTACTTCAGACTTTCCCAGTGCACTATATCTCCTTATTTTCTGACTACTGGTACCAAGGATGTTAATTGTGAATTTCAGTAAGATGATGTTGTTGACAGTTTTAATCTCTTCTCCATCCACCCTGGTCCAATGGTAAGAATCTGTTTTCTTGACATTGAGATGCAATCCATATTGAAGGCTGTATTCTTTGATCTTCTGCAACAAGTACTTCAAGTCCTCCTCATTTTCAAACAAGGTTGTGGCATTTGCATAACACAGTTGTTGAGTCTTCCTCATAAGAGGACAATTAAGTTCTTGCAAGAAAACATTTGCTGCTGTCAAACTCCACATTTCTAAACTCATTTGAATTTTGGTTCAGAATGTATATTGAGGCCAGATTAAGTTTTGTGAGTAAATCAACACAAATACATAATGATTTATCATTTACTGGATATGAATGTAATTGAAAATGTAATTGTTTAAACCAATGCTTGTTTACGTAAACTTTTAATGATTTTGCAGTGATAATGTGATGATTTTTTTTTTTTGCCTCATTCGTAGCATTTTTTTTTAATTAGGCCTCATTTTGTGTTTATGATGTGAATTTATAGAACTTTCTATCAGGATGTGTCTTGCTTCATTTAGAGTATCGTCTTTTGCTTTACATTAAGGAAAAGCAATGTAGTCTGAGAAGGAGTCTTTGTGAGTTGTAGAGATTTGGCAGAAAATTAGACTTCTTGAATTACAAGTGAAAAATTGCAATGTAACATTTTCAAAATAATTACGAACTTTATTTTACTATCTTCCAGAAAAATATAAATATGAAGAAAATGAAAATTAAATGGGCACTTAATATTAAGGGAAAAGGAGGTAGTTCAGTAAAGGGCTCCTGATTTCATTTGTGAAATTTACTTATTTTAATAGGCAGTTCCATACTTTTTTGAAGATCAATTTAATTTAATGTCTTTTAGGACAAGCACAGTGGAAATAATTATGATGATGAAGCCCATAAAATTTCATGGTTTAGTGTTTAGGTAATTGCCTGTTAAATGAAATAAGTATTTTATCTAGACATGGATATATCCATTTCTTTTGATTAAGAACATAATTAATGAAAGTTTACTCCTAAACTAGTTGAATGTCATACAACAATTAGTCCATAGTTCATGTTAGTAGGTTAAATGAAATATTTTTAAGAAGATTTTGAACTAATTGGTAACTGGTGAAATAGACTGTAGGGGTTTGTACTCCAATCCAAAGGTCATGTGTCTCCAGGAATTTGGCATTGCTGAACCAAAAGTCGCAGTGTCTCTGTGGGAAAAAGATGAGCAATCTCCTCCCATGTGACTTAGAGTCTTGGGAGTCCAGTAGAGGGTCAGCTATGAATGGGTTCTCACGTAATGGCTATAAATGAATGAATGAGATTATCAGAAATTACTTTGTTCTTATTGTATATGAGAAGCCTGTATGATAAACATGACCTATTTTTGTACATGTAAATTTAATAAATGCTTGTTTTTTACTAAATTATAACAAGATCATTCAATAAACATGATCAAATAGCTATTACAAAATACTGATAAAATTATTTAGGGAATTAAATTGAAATTGACCATTATGCTAAGTGGACTAACTCAGTCTCATAAAGAGAAATACTGTATAAGACCATTATTTTTGAATGAGTATGAGAATCCAAGGAGGGGAGGGGGTGTTTAATCATAGGGTCGCACAATTTGATGGGTGGAGGGAGGGGTGGGAAAAGGAAAGGGGAAAGATCCAGTGTGAAAAACAATGTATGCAGACTTTATGAACTTTATATGTAAACCAGTATAAAATAAAATTTAAAACCATGAATTTGGGAAAAATACCCCACAATTTTATGTTAATAAAAAAGTTAGATGAAATAAATGATACCCTGCAAAAGTCTGAAGTAATAAAAATAATTTATTTAGGATTTGCTATGAACTGGATTTATATATCCTGTTGAAAATGTAGTTTTGATGTGAATTATTGTATAGAATGGAAGAATATACATAGTTTTCTTTCTAAAAAATTTTATATTGGTTTGCTTACAAAGTTCATATACATCGTTTCTCACACTGGATCTTTCACCTTTCCTTTATTCCACCTATGGAATTGTGCGACCCTATGGTTAAGGGCCTTCTCACGCTCACGTAGTTTCTTCGTATTATATGTTCTCATTTTGTGCAAGAAGCTGTGCTGCAATCCCTAAGGCACGTGGTTTTTTACTACGAGCTGCTTCACAGGAGAAGAGGTGGGCAGTCTCCTCTTGGGCAATTAACTGCCTCTGAAAACCCCCTGAAGGGTCACCTATGGGTCAATTCCAACTCTAGCATACACAACAACAAACAATATTTTAGATTTTGGTGTCTTCGTTTTCTAAAGTAGTTAATTCTATATCATTGAGAAAAAGCATATGGGGACAGTATTCTATATGTTACACAAATTTAAACAGAACATCTTACTAAATCCTGTTGGATTGTACTTGAAAATGAATGTTTGAGATTCTGTTTCAGTTAAAGCTTTTTTGCTTGTTTTTAATGTAAAGACTTCCTACTAGTTTAATAAGAAATGCTACATAATTTAACACATAAACTGTTTATGTGAATACATTTAACTTTTTTTTTAAGTTACCTTTTATTTTTCTTTTACTTGTTGGCTAGGCATCAGGAAATTCAGAATAGGTGAAGCAACAGCTTGAAATGGATTTAAATTGCTTTACTGAGTAGCCTTCATTTGTGCAACAGAAAATCAGTCCCTGAAAAAGAATTTAATGACCAGAAAAATTTTAAGATCTAATATGTCAGTTAATTCTTATGCTTTCTTTTCTGGGATAAGCACAAATAGATCATTACATATGTTGTTAAAATAGTAGGTTGATATATTGCTGCCTTATTTATGATTCTGTTCAAGAAATTTTGCATCATTACTTTTCAAAGTAGTTCTAAAAAATCTTTTATGGATTAACATTTTGTTGCTGTTGTTGTTGTTATGTGCCATCGAGTTGCCTGCAACTCATAGCAACCCTATGTACAACAGCTCTGAACCCTAACCTATCCTTACCCAAGCTTACTGTCTCTGACACACCTGCCACCATCTGAGTTGATTCATCTCTTTGAGCGGCTTCCTCTCTTGTGCTGTCCCTTCACCCTTGCAAGCATAATGTCCCTCTCCAAGGACTGATCCCTCCTGGCAACCTGCCCAGAGTATATTAGACGGAGCTTCGGAATCCTTGCCTCCAAGGAGCAGCCTGGCTTCACCCTCTCCAGGATGTTCGTTCTCCTAGCAGTCCATGGTATATTCAATACTCTTCTCTAGCACCCCAGCTCAAAGACATCAATTCTCCTTCTATTATCCCTAGTCATTGTCCAGCTCTCTGACGCATAGCAAGTGATTGCCACATGCATCTCTATCGTATAGGAAGAAGCCTTGCTGATCTGCATGTGGTCCACCAAGAGTCTGAAAACATTACCTTATTTAGCAGCACCATAGTCACAGTTCCTCAGTAATTGACGGGACATAAATCCTAATGCAGAAGTCTGTTTGTGTGCATTATTATGCTTGAATTTGAATTTTGAAATGTTGTCACTCAGAGAAGCGGATTTCTTTCATTCTGATCTTAGCATGGAATGTCAGCGCTTTAATTCAGTCCATTACTCATAATGGGAGAGTGTCAATGCAGTAGCACGTTGTCAGTTAACCAATACTGCTACAGAATTATATAAATACCTTATTGTCGAGGCAGGAAGCTGTGGTGGGATGGTGGTAAGAGCTGCACTGCAATCTCAAAGGGATGCAGTTTGAATCCACCAGCTGCTTTGCAGGAGAAAGATGGGCCATCTCTTCTCAGTGATTGATTAACTGCCTATGAAAACCAACCAAAGGACCAGTTATGGGTTGGTCTGATGCACAACAACCACATTATAGAGGTGAAAGAAAAAAAAAAACAACCTCACATTGCTTTTTTGTGTACAGCCTGGGTTTAGAAATAATTTTTTTTTATAGATTTATACTAGGGGTTTGCAAAAGATGTATCCAGTTAAAGAAAATTTATTTATTACAACACTGATTTGGAAGATCTTTCTTAGCAATTGATCAATTGTTTTTAATAATGTGATCTGTAGATGATGCATATATTTCATAGGTCTTATTAGAATAATATCTTGATTGAACAGAATTTTTATGTTTATCCCAGTTATCAGAATTGAATAAACCAATATGTTCCCGTGTTACTATGTATTCTAGGACAATCAGAGTTATGTTTTGTAAAATCTTTTTCTTTATTTGTAATTCTTTTGAATGATCCTCTCATTGTTTTTATTGTTAGATGCCTTGGAGTCAAGTGTGACTCTTAGCGGCTCTATGAACAACAGACCTGAACCCTGTCCTACACTGTGCCGTCCTCCCCGTCTCTGACATGCCTGAGCCCGTTGCTGCAGTCACTGTGTCGATCTGTCTCATTGATGGTCTTCAGTTTTTAGTTGACATTCTACCTTTCCAAGCACAACATTCCTTCCTGAGGAGTAGTCCCTCCTAGCAATATACCCAAAGTGTCAGAGAAGAATCATCTGCTCTGGTTACACTTTCCTCATATAAAGATTTAAATATGGTTTACTAGACACATATTCTTTGAAAATGGACGAATTGTGATTTACTCTGTCACCATAAATTTTATTTGTATTTCTTTTAAATGAAATGTGGGTTAATAATCTTTTTGTAATTGAGTATTTTGGCCTTTTCATTCTCATTCCCATATACACTATATTGGTTGTGATACTTCAGTAAGAATATTAGTGGGATGCTTTTTTTGGAATGATCTTTTGAGTTTTGCAAGACTCGTAATTTTCAGAAAGTAAGCAGCAGTGACTTTAAAATATATTACTATTTTTTTCTTTTCAGCAAGGCCAGAGTAGATCTGCTGAAAATTCAGAAAGAACGTGATTTTCATCGGATGCATCATAAGCGAATGGTTCAGGAAAAAAACAAATTAATTCATGATCTGAAGGGGTAAGCTGATAATATTTGTTAAATACTTATTAGAAATTATTTAATTGGCACTAAGTAACATTCATTTCTTAAGTATCTTCTTTGGCAGGAGGTTTCAGAAAATTGTTATTTATTTGGCATTTAATTACCATCTATTGTGTGCTAGACATCAGATTATGTGTTTGAAATACAAAGGTGAATGAATTTAGGTTCATTCTATCAAGGAACCCAGAGACTAATGAGGAAGGAAAACAAATATACTGGATATACTGCTGTGCTTCTTTGTGTAAAAAGAGTATATGTGGTAGCATATGTCTAACTTCCACTAAAAAAAAAATCCACATGGAAAACTGTTCGCATCCACAGAACAAAACAGACTCCTCTGAGATCAGACAGCTCCCCCTAGACCCCAGGTGCTTTCTTCTAACATTTCTATTCTGACACCTTTACTCCCTCCCAGGAATCCTGCCGTTCTACTGCGGCATCCATTAATCCCACAGTATTTACAATTAGGAAGTTTATTAAGAAAATGTTATGTTACAACTCAGGTTGAAAAGAGGATGCAATTGTTCTTGTATTGGGACAGCTTCTCTGGTATGCGTCTGTGATCTCTGACCCTTCTCACAACATTGCACCAGTGATGCCCAGGTCTTTAAATCCTGCAAGCATGCTGTCTATCCCCAGACTTCTAGCACGTTTAGACAAAGACCTTTCCTCTGGTTCCATGGCATTCAGTTTGGCTTCAGCTTCGTTTTACCTTGGTTTCTAGTTCTTAACCACCTCTGCTGCTTCTGCTGCTGGCTGGTCTCAGATCATCTTATGCGGAATCCTCTGGTCTAGAAGGAGGTGCTACATTTATTCTTGATGGGAACAAAAAGTCCTATATATTTTCAGTCTCTGAACTTCCTCAAATTTAGCCTTCATTCATGGCAAAGCTGAAACAATCCTCTCATTAGTCTTATACCACTTATTTGCATGTTCTCACACACAAAAAAAATCAGGATATCTCATAACATAAACATTATTAACAACAAAGTTCTATGCAACTATATAGTGAAAGTCAAAGCCAATGGCTAGGAAAGCCATTTTAAACAATCAGTGTACTGTAGTACCAGCATATTATCAAGAATAAATAATAAGGAAGTAAGAGGTTCAAGGTCATCTAAATTCATTGGTTAAGAAATGTAGTTGTTATGTACTGTCGAGTCAGAATGAACTTATAGCTGACCCTCTAACAGATTTCCAGAGGCAGTAAATCCCATGGAAAGAGATTTCCCATCTTTGTCTTGTGGAGAAGCTAATGGATTCAAAACATGTACATATGGGTTGACTGTGCAGTCTTATTGATAGACCATGAAGGGCAAGCTCCAGAAATTAGTGGGATAGCAGTTAAAATATAGAAAGAAACAAATGTAATACTGAAACACTCACTGGCTTTGTTTTAAGAAATTTTGAAGATAGCTACTTGGTCAGTGACTGGAAGAGATTTGTATTTGTGGCCATTCCAGAGAAATATGATCTAGCAGAATTTGAAAGTCCCACATGAGTAAAATGCTCAGTCTCCTCCAATGTGATTTGTAGCCTCAGAGCTATAAGAGCTGAAAGGTCAGTCGACCATGGGGTTAGTTCCAACTTTATGGCAGTGAGTTAAGTTGTTGAGTTTAATTTTGCAGAGGATAGTAGCAGAAATAGTGTGGCAAGACACTGACCAAAAGCTTTCAGAAATTCAAGTGGGATTCAAAAGAAGGTGTGAAATGAGGAAAAGTATTGCTGATATTAGATGAGATTGGCTAAAACCAGATAATACCAGAAAATAATATATGAAAACATTCCACTCTCTGGATGAACACTTAAAAGAATGAGATATCTGGAACACATACGTGTGCTTGTATGGAACCTGTATATAGACTAAGATCTAGTTGTTCAAAGGAGACGGTACCAATTTAAAGTTAAAGAAAAGTAAGCTTTTGAGTTGTATCCTTTCTCCATATTCAGTCTGCATACTGGAAAAAGATTTTTGTGGGAGCTGAGATTTATGGAGGAGAATATGGTGGAAAGCTCATTAACAACCTATGACATACAAAGGACAGAACCTTTCCTTCAGAATGTGAATAAAACTTAAAATTTTTATTGGATTGCTCTTGTTGTTGTGCACTGTCTAGTTGAAACTGACTCATAGCTGCCTTTCAATGAGGTTTTAGAGGCTGTAAATAACATGGGAGAGGACTGCCAGATTTTCTCTCACCGAACAGCTGGTTTACTGAAATTGTTGCCTTAAAGTTGGTAGCATGATTCTTTACCTAGTAGGCCATCTGAACTACTGGCGTATGGATTGAACTTCACCACATCAGGATTGGAGCAAGACTCATCAGCAACCATATATTATGCAGATGATATAACTTTGCTTGCTGAAACTGACAAGATCCTGAAGCACTTTCTGCAGAAATTCAAGGACTATAGTCTTTAATATGGATTGAAGTTCAACATCAAGAAGACAAAGATTCTTACCACTGGCCTGATTGGCAGCACTATGATAGATAGAGAAAAGATTGAGGTTGTTAACACTTTCAACTTGCTTGGCTCCTTAATCAACACTTTTAGCATCAACAGTCGGGAAATCAAAAGACTAATTTCATTGGGAGAGTCTGCTGTTAGGGACCTCTCCAGAGTACTGAAAATCAACGATGTCAATCTTGAGACTAAGGTATGCCTAATCTAGTCAATGGTCTTTGCAATTGCTTGCTGTGCATCAGAGAGATAGCCAATGACTAAGGATGACAGAAGAAAAATCAATGCCTCTGAGCTGTGGTGCTGGAGCAGAGTCTTGACCATACCATAGACTGCCAAGAAAACAAATAAATCTGTCTTAGAGAGGGTGAAATCAAGTTTCTCCTTGGAGGCCAGGATTTTGAAGCTCTACCTCACATACTTTGGGCATGTGGCTAGGAGAGACTGGTTCTTGGAGAAGGACATCATGATTGGCAGGGTGGAGGGACAACACAGGAAAGGAAGACCTCAGATAAGACAGATTGATACAGAAACTGGAGCAGTGGGGTTTGGTGTGTTGGAATTAGTGATGCTGGCTCAGGACAGGGCAGGGTTCAGAGCTACTGTGCATAGGGGCACTATGGGCCACAGGCAACTCGACAGCACCCAACAACAACAACAACAACAACGGTAAACAAAAATCTTCAAAATGTCATCAGTGAGTAACATCATTACTAAAGAGAGGGTTGACATTGTGAAAGTTTTCGTTGTACTTGGATCCATAATCAGTACCCATGGAAGCAATGTCAAGAAAATGAATGATATATAAACAAATGAATTGAGAGAATCTTCTGCAAAAGACTTTAAAGTGATAAAAAGCAAAGATATTGCTTTGAGGTCTATGATCTATCTGACAAAACACATGGTATTTTCAATGGTGTCATGTTCATGAAAGAGTATACAAATAAGACTGAAAAAGAGTTGGCATTTGTTTGCATGCAAACAATAAGGAAATAGACTGTAGAAAGCCCAAAGAACAAACATATCTGACTCAGAAGAAGTACAGACAGAATCCTTCTTAGCAAGTAGAATGACAAACCTTCTCACATACTTTGGACATGTTAGTAGAAGAGACTAGGGCGCTCTGGTGGCATCCCAGAGGCATGCAGTTTCAGGACTCCCAGCTGTTCCTCCCGTGTGACTTACTGCCTCTGAAGCCCCACTGGAGGTCAGCTATGAGTGGTTCTGATTCTGTGGTACACAACGGCAACAGTCTGTGATTAGGACCCTTGTGCCTGATAAACAGGAAGTCAGTGTGATAAAGGAAGCCCCTCCATGATGCGACTGACCCAGCAGCTGTATTTTCCAGGGGCTAGTCCCTGCTCATAACCTGTCCAAAAGTACATAAGACAAACCCTTGCCATCCTTGCTTCTAATGAACACTCTGGCTGTACTTTTTCCAAGACAGATGTGTTCCTTTTTTTGTCAGTCTGTGAAATCAATGTTCAGTACTCTTCGCTGACATCATAATTTAAACATGCAAATTATTTCTGATTAATTGCCCAGCTTTCACATGCACATGAAGTCATTGAAAATACCTTGGCCTGGATCATGGAGCTCTTGTGGCCTTGTGGTAAGAAACTGTAGGTATCCCAGAGACACGTGGTTCAAACCACCAACTCCTTGGTGAGGTGAAGGGGGCAATCAGTGCAGTTTACTGCCTCTGAAAACCACGTGGAGGGTCAGGATCTGTCAGTTCTAACTCAGCTGGCACACACCAACAACATGCCTTGGGGTCAGGCACATTATAAAGTTCATCTTTTCTCTTTAAACACTTGAAAGAGGGTCTTTGGAGTTGCTTATAATGTGTTGTCATAGTAGAGTCATAGTAGAGTCAAGTAGGACCTTTAGTAATCCTGTGGACAACACATCTGACCCTGCCCTCTCCTGCTCTTATTCATCGTCTTGGGTATATATCTAGCAGTAGAATAACTGTGACATAAGTGATCACTGTGTTCAGCATTTTGAGGAAATGCCAAACTGCTTTCCAGGATTGACTGTTTTACAACCTCACCACCATTATATCACAGTTTCCTTGTCTCCGCATCCTCTCCAACATTTATTACTTGCCATCCTGTTAAACTTTGCCGCTGCTACTGGTGTGAAATGGTATCTCATTGTGGTTCTGATTTGCGTCTCTATTATTGCCAGTGATTCTGAGCAATTCTTCATAGTCATCCAAATATCTTCATCTAGGAGAAGTCTTTCCATTATCTTTTACTTTTAATTATGCTAGTTTATTTACAAAATTAAAATACATTGTTTTGCAGAACAGATTCTTCCAATTTCTCTTACTTCCGGCCCATCAAATTATATAACCTCATGATTAATCCTCCCCTTCCCCTGCACAACCTCATACCTCTGCTTTCAGCCGCTCCCACCCCTCTTACATCCTTATACTCATTCTGCAGCAGTGGTTTTATACAATATTTGTCATTGTGGGACTGAGTTAGTTCACTCAGCATAATGCTCTCCAGTCCCTCCCAAGTTAGGTAATAATTTACAAAATCATTACTCCTGTGTGCTGCATAGTATTTCAGTATGTGAACATACCATAATTTCTCAATCATTTGTTTGTGCTTGGACATTTGGGCTGTTCCCATTTCTTGCGATGGTGGATAATGCTTCTATGAACATTGGTTTACAAGTCTCCATTTGTGCCTCATTTCTCATATTCTCAGGGTATATTCCAAGTAGTGGAATAGCTGGGTCATATGGAATTTCTATGTTTAGTTTTTGAGGAAGCGCCAAACTGCCTTCCAGAATGGTCATACCATTTTACAATCCCACCAACCATGTACAGAAATTCCTTTCTCACCACATCCTCTCCAACATTTATTACTTGCTGCCCTGTTAAACAGACACATGAAGAAATGCTCAAAATCTCTGGCAATAAGAGATATAGATGTCAATAAAAACCACAATGAGGTACCATCTCACTCCAGGAATAGTGGCAAAGTTTAATAGGGTAACAGGACAGCAAGTAATAAATATTCAAGAAGGTGTGGTGAGAAAGCAACTCTTTCCATTATCTTTTGCCCATTTTGCAACTGGGGTATCAGTCTTTTTCTTGTGGAGTCCCTATAATGTTGTGTACAGTTTTTAATGAGATCTTTGTCCGAGATATCATTGCCAAATGTTTTTATTCCCAGTCTCAAAACCTACTACACAGCTGTGATAACCAAAACAGCATAGTACTGGTATAATGACAGACACATAGACCAATAATGGACAGAACAGAAAACTCAGAAATTAACCCATCTATGTATGCTCAACTGGTATTTGACAAGGAAAAAAAAAACCCCTATAAAATGGAGAAGTGATATAATCTACAACAAATGGTCTGGAAAACTTGGAAAACCTGCAGAAAGTTGAAGGAGGATCCACATCTCATAGCATGCATGAATATAAACTCAAGGTGGATCTGAGACCTAGGAGTAAGTCCCAAAACCATAAAGATCACAAGACACAAAATCAGACCAAACTTAGAAGGTCTAACCTATGGTATGTATAAACAGGCAAATGCAGCAAGAAATGCACAACCATGAGAGGATAACAACGATGAACGAAACATTCTAAAAATTAAGTCCCTTTATTCATCAGAAACTTTTTCCAATAGGATGTAGCTATGTCTTTTTAATTTTGTTCCCGTGAGTTGATTAAAAGAAGTGCATTAAAAAGAAATCTGAATGTATAGAAGCTTTCCCCCCTCATTCTTATTTAATATATATCTCTTCCAGTCAACTGGAACAGCATATCAACAGAAATGCAGACTGACTTGAGAAGGGGTCATGTACTAGGGATATTGTAGCTAATGTTAGATGGATCTTAGCTGAAACCAGGGAGTACCAGAGCATTGTCTTTCTGGGTTTCATTGATTATGCAAAGGTGTTTGACTGTGTGGATCGCAACAAACTGTGGGTGACTTGGAGAAGAATGGGGAACCCAGAACACTTGATTGTGCTAGTGTGACACCTATACTTGGACAAGGAAGCAGTTGTCAGACAGAGCAAGGGAACACTGCATGTTTCAAAATTGTGAAGGATGCCCACC